TTTCAGCATCTGGAAAAACTGGAACTTCACACCATCCTTCTCCAAGACACAGGCTCACCAATAAGCAATTTTGTTTGGGCTCATGGTAGAAACCATCGCGGGCTTTAGTGCAGCACTAAATTATGAATGGAGACTACAAGGTCCATGAGTGGGAATCAACTCGATGGCAGTTTGGCTTTTGGAGGCTGTTGTAATTCAGGAACTTCTTTCTTCACTGAAATAATGGTCTAAATAATTTCCTACATAATCGTTATCCAGCAGTAAACTGACTCTATTAAGAGTCGAAGAGAAACAGAGCGGCATTGTTGCTGCAAAGCCAGGACTGAAGTGGGTACAAAAGCGAGGCTGAGTTTCAACTCTGTAATGCATGGGTGCGAGGTGGGTGGAGGCAAAAGTTCAGTGTAGCAAGATCTGTCTAGCAAATGGCATGGAAGCTTTAAGTGAACTATTTAACTCCTTGGAGTATTAAAGTTGCTTCATAATTTTCAAATCTCTTTCCAACCCATACTATAATAGTGTGGTGAAGAAATCAGTGGCTAGTTATTAATGTCTGGGATCTAAAAGGCTTGTCTTAAAACAAGCAGCCATCTGAATGAGGTGTCAGCTACATCTTCATGGAAGCTGCACACCAGCCTGGTGATCCAAGAATTGTAAACATTAAAACCCAAATCCCCAGGAGTCAATAGTTATGAGCTGAACCTCAAGTTTGCAGAAGGCTATGGATGCCATTAGGAGCCCAAAATGTATTTGCAGGGTCCCCACACGGGGATTAAGCATCCAGTGAATTCCCTCTGATCACAGGAATATGAAGAACCTTGCTATCAAACACAGAGCATGGTGAGGTTGATCGTGGCAGATGCAGTCAGGGCAAAATGTCATTTGATCTCCTTTGTGGACCATTTTAGTTTTTTCTGAGCTGATGGTGCCCGGCTATCAAAAAATATAGTATCTAGAGTCTTAAAAGCTTGAAGATAAACAGCCATCTAGCTGAGAAGCAACAAATCCCACATGGAAGAAGTACACCACCCTGTGTGATCACGAGATGTCGATAGGATCAGGTATCAGGCATCAAAGACCCAGAACAAAAAAAAATCATATCATTGTGAATGAGGGAGAGTGCAGGGTGGGGACCCAAAGTCCATCTGTAGGCCACTGGACATCTCCTTACAGAAGGGTCCGGGGAGATGAGCCAGAATGCAGTACAGCAACGAAACATACAACCTTCCTCTAGTTCTTTAATGCTTCCATCATCTATCATGATCCCAATTCTACCTTACAAATCCAGCTAGACCAGAGGATGTACACTGGTACACATAAGTGCTAGAAACACAGGGAATCCAGGACAGATCAACCCCCAGGATCAATGAGTAGTGATACCAGGAGGTTAAGGGAAAGGTAAGGGGAGAAAAGGGCGACTGATCACAATGATCCACATATAACCCCCTCCTGGAGGACGGACAACAGAAAAGTGGGAGAAGGGAGACATCAGTCAGTATCTAAGACATGAAAAAATAATTTATAAATTATCAAGGCTTTGTGAGGGAAGGTCGGGGAGGGAGGAGAAAAAAATGAGCTGACACCAAGGGCTCAAGTAGAAAGAAAATGTTTTGAAAATGATGGCAACAAATTTATAAATGTGCTTGACACAGTGGATAAATGTATGGATTGTGATGAGTTGTACAAGCCCCCAATAAAATTATTTTTTTTAAGTTTGTTTTTATTTTTTTTCAAATTGAGGTTTTTTTTCCACTTTGTCTAGTCATTTGCTTGGTAGGATTTTGTATGAGTGTGTTGTAATTTCCTGTTAAGGCAAATCTAGGACAGGTCAATCTAGAAACTAACTGGACAGGGCAGGGCAAGGGAGGATGGGAGGCTAACAGAGTATGAGAAGAAAACATTCTGAAATTGTGATGATTTCACAAATCTTAAGGGTCATCATTAATTTTCCATGAACTTTTCTATCCCTGTTACACTTTCCTACTTAAGGAATTTTAAACAATAAGACAAACACCGCCAAAGTACTAATCAAGGAAGATAAAACTACCTTTCATATGCTTGAAAAATTCCTTATACAGTTAAAGTACACAAAGGGAATCTTGATCACAAAGCATTTTGTATTACCCACTGCCACCAGTAAGTTCTGACTCATTAAGGTCCTATATGTAGTTTCCCAGACTGCAAATCTTTACAGGAACAGAGGCTGGTGGGTTGGAATTGCTGACCAGTGCTCAACTCAGCACCACCAGGGTGCATAGGGTAAAAAAAAAGGGGGGGTGGGGGGGCCATGCAAACCTTAGTATTTGCACTTTTCCACCTGAATCAGATCCATGTTAGAGGCCCCACACTACCCAGCCTCTGAGGCACTCAAAAGACTAGTCCAGTCCACTGCCAAAGCACTCACAGAAAGGCTTTTTGATTGGCTACTAGAACTTGGGCTCAACAGGTAACAGCCAAATGTCTTCAGTTTTGTGAAACTGTAAAGACAGAGAGCACATTCATTTTTATTTCAGCATTTAAAATATTCACAGATGGTATAGTATACTCATTTGACATCGTCATGGAAAATGAACCAAAGCGTACAGGCAGTCCACAATTACAGAATTACATAGTGGTGCGTATGGAGGGTCTGTCCCTAGAATTCACCTGAAAAAATACTTTTAAAAACGTCTGAGTGTTTCACTAATTTCTATAGAAAATGAACTTCAGGAAAAATACCTAATAAGCACATTTTAAAAATAACTAAATTTGCAATTTTACAAATGTCAACTTTCATAGAGACCTTGAGTGCTGACACGAATCAAATTCACATTGGCATTACCAGGTCATACCCCTCAGTCTTAAAATGCAAACCTTTCTTTAAGAAGAACTCAACCAATGAAAGTTTAAACAGAGAAGTACCTCACATCTTTTCAGTACACTTTCTTTACCCCAGTTCTCATCTTTTCCAACATACACACCAAGAGAAAGGTTATGTATGTGGTCATGTATTCAAACGAATTTAGCAATCAGCTTAAAAAATTCTGCCAAATACTTCTTA